TCTATCACTAAACATATTAGAGAGTCACCTATAGTACCTTGAACTCTTCCAAATCTAGACTCAAAACCTTCTTTAGAAGTGATGTTATTGAAGTGATTCGGTGTGCCTCTTTGCTTCCCTACTGTATTCCATACCTGCATCTACTATCTCCTCTAAATGTTTAATTTTTGTTGTTGTGTAAAGTGCTTTGAATTAAAAACACTGTATTAAAATAAAGTTAATTATTATTATCCAACAGATGCAGTGCTTAAAATATTTTGTTTATTGTGAATCGATACTTTGATAAATATTTCTAACTCTTGTGTGTACATGTACAGTAACACTAGATTGGAAACAAGGAGGAATTCTAAGATGTATTGTATGGAACTGATAAACACCTGAAATTGCACTTTCATTAATCACACATGTACTGTATTTGACACCTTAACCTTTAACTGTCAAGCAAATTCCATGAAGAGATAGATTCTTAATATTGATTGATTATTTCTGAATTCCTGTTTATCTGTCTTTGTGTTTTGGACAGGAGATGCTATTCAGGAGAACCTGTAAACTTGTTGAGGTTGAAAACGTAAATAAAAGTCTTGTGAAGGTCAAAAGCACTAAGAAGGCAATAGTAAGTGATTATATAATTAAATAATATACATCCATTAACAGTCAGTTATTTGATTTAAAGAAAGTTTAATTCCTGCTAAAATAAACCTATTATTATTTGTACATATTCAAGGCCTTAATGCTCATATGGGTTTCTGACTAAATGACAAAATAAAATTAAATCAAAAAGAAGAATTTATAAGCGACAAATAAAATTAATTTCAAATTAATAAATGGGCTGATTCGCTGAAACATGAATTTCTGTTGATAATGAAATTAAAATAAGAATAAACAGTCATCTCCACAATTATCATTGTCATTTGGTTCACATTGTATTGTACAAATTGTATTTCATTCTAGGCTAAATGTGTTTTTAATGAGTTTTTGCTATGAAGCAAGTTGCTAATATAGTTTAAGTATGCTGTAGGTGGCAGCACAGGGATTATCAATGCACCTAGCTGCTGCATAGAGCTTTGTGCTGGGTATTCAAACTCAATAATGGTGATAAAGCATTCAAACACACAAA